CTAACAAAGAAAACAAGCCCTTAAGTACTTGTTTTCCTTGTTTTCTTCATTCATAGTGTGGGTCTCGTTCCTACAGACTTGGTGCTTTCAGGTAGTATATGAGGAATTATTGGTCGGCTGCCAACTCATAATAAGGTCACAGACTACGCTTTGCCAAACAGACACAAAAAAGTGTTTCACCGTCAGTACTGGGATTGCAACACACACACACACACATACACACACACACATATATATATATATATGTATATATATATATATATATATATATATATATATATATATATATATATATATATATATATATATATATATATGTATGTATATATATATATATATATATATATATATATATATATATATATATATATATATAGAGGAAAGAAGTGTATACCTAAGGGCTCCTTTTTCCGTGTTTTGACACAATATAATGAGATCTAACAGACAGTAATGCCAAGGAATGTACAGGGGAAGTTATTAGAACCAATGGATTGTAAATAAGAAGAAAGAAAAGTGGATGAAAAATAACCAGCCGTGAGCAGGTATATATATATATATATATATATATATATATATATATATATATATATATATATATATATTCAAAAAGACTAATATATACAGTTAGTTTACCGTTAGCCCCGCCGCGGTGGTCTAGTGGCTAAGGTACTCGGCTGCTGACCCGCAGGGCGCGGTTTGAATCCCGGCTGCGGCGGCTGCATTTCCGATGGAGGCGGAAATGTTGTAGGCCCGTGTGCTCAGATTTGGGTGCACGTTAAAGAACCCCAGGTGGTCTAAATTTCCGGAGCCCTCCACTACGGCGTCTCTCATAATCATATAGTGGTTTTGGGACGTTAAACCCCACATATCAATCAAATCAATCAATTAGTTTACCATTAGCGTGATAGCGTTTACGTGCTTCAACTTTGACGGTGGTGCCATCTGTTGGAGGATGAATAACTTGAAGAACAGTCAAAATAAAATAGCTCCTTGGTGTGGACTGCGCATTCACCTGTTTGCAGGGCGCTGAAAGTTTTTCTGAAGCAAAGAAAGCAACCTTCACATCAACCTTTGCATCTATCTTTTTTAAATAGTGCGAAATCCTATGTAGATAAGGAATCACAGACATGCACTTTAAGCTACTAGCGACGCAGTTCACTGCTGCTTCTCGTCCCTGTTTATTGTCCTAAGCAACTTTTCCACCACCGAAACCAGCACATAATCAGGGAAATCTGACGAGAAGCCTGCTCAACAAAGCTGCTTGCTGTTTAACGAGTGGCCGCAAGACTTTCGGAGGGCATTTCTTGAACAATGATTAGCAATACCTCTCTTTACGAGCTTCGAATGAGCCGACAAGTACAATAGAAGAGGTTTGCTTTTTCCAAGCTCATATTTACAGCAAAGGTGATCACTTGAGATGTTTATTCTCACATCTTAAAAACCTTAAGGAAGCATCCTGTGGAACCTTATGCATCAGAATAAGAGGTGCCATGCACTAATTGAAAATATGTAATATGTTTAAACAGCAGCTTTGAAGCCCTGATCATCGCAGTCAAAAAGCACAAGAAAATCGTCAACAAAACAAAACACATTTACGACAGCCGTTCTGTCGAGGCGGCTAGCCAAGAGTCGGTCATGGTAAGCGAGAAAAATGTCACTAAAACAGGTGCTATGCATGAACCGATGCATGCTCCTCTTTTTTTAATGAAAGTTCCTTCGTTCCATGATACAAAAGTTGTCTTTAAGTAAAAGCCAACGAGTTCATGAAAGCCACTGACTGTTATAGCCGCCGCATTTTGGAACGCAACTGAACCGAAGTTCTCAATGCAGTTTTCAACGCACAGTAGCAGCGTGTGATGTGGAGTGGCCATAATAGCCATTACAACATTACATTACAACATGCGGACGCAAAGCGAGCGCCCAAACCACAGCCACTCCATGCCCTGTATGGGCGTTCTAGAAATTTGCAGGACATTCTTACTTCCTCCAAAGTTCAGAATAATAATTATATTTCATCTATTCATAGCCATTATTGTTGTAATCTTTAACACAAGACATGCAATCGGATGCATACCACTGCGGCTAAAAACACCGCCAACGGTTTCTGCTTGAAAATTCGTAGTGAGTTTTCTTGAGAGACAGATCATGTAGTTAATATGCTTGAGTGCTCCATATGCAAGTTGCTGTATATCGGTGGAACTAACAATGCGTTTTGGTACCGGTTTGATATTCACAATGCACACGTGCACTCTATGCTTCATGAGCCGATATCTAGACACGTTTTCACCATCGGGCATATCTTCGAATCCTTTAGGGCGACGATATTGAAAGTGGAATGCACTTCACAATATAAGCACGAACTGCACGAGTAATTTTTATTTCACAAGTAGAAAGCGGATGCTAGGAGCTGAAACGAAAACACTGGTACATTGTCCAGCAGGTTTTCGTATTATAGCAACCATTCCTGGATTCCTGCAGTAAAACTCAACCTTCTACCCACTACCTCTGTTCTCCAGAGCAGAGCTCTCTCAGCTGCGCAGCTGCTGTTGCTACAGAAGGGAGGGGAAGGTTGGTTGCATGGTGTCCGTCTTTTCTTGTCGTGGCTGCTGCTGTTTGTCAAGGATGAAGAGCGGCGCCTTTCCATACCGTCGCAAAAACTCGACTTTTTATACAGCAATTATGTACAAATTTACAACACTCTTCACTCTTGTGACCGTCCCCTGTTACCTCGGCAGAGCCGAGAGTACAGAGCACTGTTATCTGTGACCCGACACCCGCGAGGAGCCGGGAGCCAGGTTTTAACTCCTAGGTTGCTCCTCCCCATCTGCTCACCGCCAACCAAAACAATTCACTCCGTTTATTGGCCAAACTAAACTCGTCTACTGCCATCATCTCTTCTCTCTCCATCTCTTACTCCAGCACTTGAGCCCCCGGTCAGAGAGAGAGGCGAAAGGAACGGTGTATACACAAGACATTCCACGAAATGTGTGAACATACGATGGTGACGCCGTTCAGTTGCCCCGATCGTGTAAACGGAGTGCAGCTGATTCTTTAGCGGGCCCATGCCATTACTACGAGATGTTATACACTGTCCTGCGCGACAGCCACCTCGCGGACTTTATTTGAGATCTATGGGTGACAACACACTGCACGTTGTCATGCCACATGCCGGCACTCCACTGGCCCGAGGCCGTTTCGCTGGTCGTTAAAATCTAAAACAGACAGCGGCCCTCCCTCCTCGAATGGTCACTGAAAGCGGGGGGTTCTTTCATCACACCACGCTTCTCATACTAGAACGGGCGTCCCTATGCAGGGATTCTCGTTTCCAGAGAATCGGCTCCTTGGAAAGTGGGAAGTTTTGGGACAAAGAAGACTCACCTTGCTTGTCCACGACGCCAGACCTTACAGAAGGGTAGGGGGAAGTCGATGAAGAAACGTTGCTCGAGTGGTTTGAGTGAGTCATATACTGTGGTCAGTAGATCTTGAAGAAACGACGGATGACACCATTTAGCACTGTTTTGAATAGAGTCTCTTGGACGACGATCAGCGCGGGAATTCATTTGAGTGTTTTCTGGAGTATAAATATTCGAGAAACCTTCGAAGAATTGTGGACTACACAAGTGTGGTGAATATTCAAGTCGTCTAAGTGTTCCTGTACAGTTTGTAATGTAGTAAGACGGTAAGTTGGGCTAGTTGGTTAGGATCCATCGTGAAGTTACAGCGCAACGCCAGAAAAAATACAGGACAGGGAAGGAGCAAAACAGAAAGAAAAGACAGCGCTGACTCACAACTGTTGTTTATTGGAAAAAAACGGGATGAAAAGTATATATATATATATATATATATATATATATATATATATATATATAATATATATATATATATATATATATATATATATATATTATATATATATATATATTATATATTATATATATATATATATATAATAGGTACTGGCAGCCAACATCTATTTTGCTCCTTCCCTGTCCTGTATTTTTTCTGGTGTTGCGCTGTAAGTAAGTTCACGATGGACAGTTTGTACTGCATGAGATGACATTTGCAGCATGGTGAGTGTATTTCCGTTGTTTTAAATATCATTTAAGTGATTTTGTGAGTACTCATTGATAACTGCCGAGTGTGAAAGTTTATGTGACGCCTTTACTAAGAATACGTTTTTGTTTTGTTGTAAACTCGTGGTTTTAAATTGTGCGTGATTTCGTGGTGCGTTGCGGGGGCCGGATACGTTGGTCAGACAGGTCGTTGTGTTAACGATTGTCTGAGGGAAGACAAAAACAATGTCAAGGGCAAAATTAGAAGCCATCTGGCACATCTTTGTGTCGAGTGTTGCTGCACTCCAAATTTCGAACGCACGTCCATCTTACGCAGACATAGCCATCTCCACGCCCGGTAAATCCATGAAGCGTTCACAATTCGTTCCATTGGACCACCGCGTACAAGCGCAACGACCACTGTGTTAACGGACAAAGAGATGAATGATCTCCGTGATTGAACTTTGCGTTTCAATATCCTATAGTCGAACCGCTAGCGTATGAGGGCTTTCTTTTCCTTCGTTTATTCGTGTTGTTCTCTTTCGCAAGGAAGCGCATATATTTCTTCACCAGAAATGCACGCTCATGTTGTTAGCTTGTGCAGAACCCCTGTCTGTTTTTCTAGTTCCATGTACCCGCTTTCTTTCTTATGACGAAGCCACATCAATATGCTCAAGTTTATAGCCCTTGGATAGAGAATAGCATAAGCGCCTATGTATGCATTTTTCGATATGTTTTTACTTACGGCCTTCCTTGCCTTTTTGTGTAGTTTAATGTGTATTCAGTGAAGAACCAACGAACGCCACAGAACGCCTTACTGAAGTCGTCAGCAAAGTCTCGTGCTGACGGGGATGAGCACTGTGTTCTCCACGTTATAGCCGTTGTTAGGATAGGCATCCCAATATAAATTTGGTGTTGAATTACAATGCCTGATGCTTTTTTTTTCAGAGTTGTTCTTGGCTTGTTCGTCGTAACTGTTTTGACTGCGACTTTCTTTGACATCGTATTGGGCTACACAAAGGAGAAGAAAATATCCATAGAGAAGTCAGGTAAGAGTCATGTCATTCCAGGTCACGTATAAACTTACCAGATTTACACATATCAGCGAAGGCTCTTTGCACAAGCAACAATATTAGATGCAGCTGGCTTCAATAACCTTTGCACACACTTGCCTGGCGAAGTATGATCAAGCCAAGTGGGTTCGCAATATTTGCTCAATGCCATTCTAAGTCAAATAACAAAGGCATCATTCAAGTTACAACTCAGCAGTGGTCTTCGCAACAAACAATTTTTATTACACGCCGATAATTTCACCCAGAGAGGTGGACACAACGGTCCTTGCATTTCATTAACATTGGCATTCTGAAAATCAATGACATAATCTACGGGAGACTGCTAATTCCTTATCTTTCCAACGCCTTTGCTTGCTTCACATATAAAATCTGTGTCGGCACTTTCCGAAAACGACCATGTTAAGAAAAGAAATGTCTGCATGGGGGGCCACCAAGGACTATTTTATTCAGCTGCCACACTATATTTCTTCTCATTTTTCTTTCTTCACATTTACGTTACAATTCGCTCTAATAAAATCCCCTGTACTTTTGTTGGCATTGCTGTCTATTACTTCTCGCCAATATTGCGTCTAACAAAAAACAAACGCTTAACTTTTTACAGTTATTTCTATCATTATCTTACGAGAGAAAATATCGAACTGTGCGTCTGTACATGAGCCACATACAGGCCCCATTCGATCAACGTAATGTGATTTTCATAGGACGCATGCTAGCCTCTAGACCCCGTATGCATGCCCGCAAACGTTGTCAGTTGAAGCATCTCTGGTGCCTTACCTCCGTATCTGGGTCGTGGCAGGTGGGCAGGAAGGGAGACAGGTAGGGTAGAAGAAGAAAAAGCGTATAGCCACGACGCTGAGCAGCAATGCAGACAAGTAGGGAGAGAGAAGGTAAGATTGTACCCAGCGCGTAGGAGCTTCCAGCGCGGTACACTCTAAAGCAAAATGGTGTTAAAAGGGTGTGTGGTTCGTCCTTTTGAGGACTAATGGGGCTGTCACAACAATTAATCCCGTTTAGGACTAGCGGCACCAGGCCTAACAGTTAGTCTCCATAGACGAGCTCAATGGACTAACATTTACTCCTCACATTTACACTTTAGTGAGTATCTGTTAGTCCCACAATTTACATCAAAAGACTAACATTTAGTCCTCACACTTGCACCTTATAGGGCAACTGTTAATCCCCACAATTACACCTTACCGGGCAACCATTAGTCCTTACAGTTGCACCTCGTCGGACGAACGGTTGATCCATTCAAATACTCCAATTGGATCAACTTTTTATCCCGAGTTTAAACACTTTTTTATTTATTTTCTGCCAGGCCTAATACTTTTTTCGCCTGATTTTCTGCGCAGTGAGCAAAAAAAAAAATAGCGCAGAAAAGAACACGCGCAAAAGTCGTTAGCCACCTATATGTGTAACTGCTTTCGCAGTCACAGCAACAACGAAAGACCAAGGTGAGACATCGAAAACTTTCATTTTTCTACATACACATGAAGTTTCCCCATTCTTTTAAGTGAACTCATGGTGAAGTTTACATCCAGTCTGGTTGTCACATCTTGTTCACTCCTTGTGGAGCTCCTCCGACGGAAGCGTTAGATGACAGGCATGCAGACGCCAGCGCACGCAACGTTCTGCCTTTTGTGTTCCCACGGCTGCACGTACAATAATATACTAAATATAGTTAAACACACGGGACAGAAGATGAAGATGCACGCATATGGCAAGTATGTGCACGTGAATATAAAAAGATGCGTGTAAAATATGACGCACAAATAGCTTTACCTTCACATCTCGTACAATCCTTCTGAAGCTGCTCTGTCGAAAGAGATGGATGACAGGCATCGCAGACGCCAGCGCACACATTCTTCAGCATGGTGTGTGCCTACGGCTGCACAATAAGTATGTAAAATAGTGAGTCACACGGGACAGAGGATGAATACGAATGCATGTGAGAAATACGTGCAAGGCAAAATAAAAACATACGTGAGATATGACATGCTAATAATTTCGCCGTGATGTCACACATTGTCAAAGACTCATTTCGATCCCTGTAGCACAACAGCTTAGAAGCGGCGGCCGCAGCCACAACTCCGCGAACCACCGTGCCACCAACAAGTGGGCAAGTTTTAAGCGAGCGATGTCGTTCAGCTCGAGCAAGCGAACGCGAGACCAAACACGGTGCTGCGCGCGGAGTGTCTGCCACCAGCGAACTTCAAACAGGAGAGCGAGCGTACGCTTGGCCACCGCCACGAACAGCACTGAGCTGGTTTGGAGCTAGCACCGAAGAAATCGACGGTAATGCGGCCATTTTCCATAAACTTGAGCGAGTGCGTGTGCAGCACGCAAATGCGAGTCCGTCATCGCGGCCAGCGGATGGTGCCGAGCTGCTTGCGGCCCACTGACGGGGAAGCCAACTGTAATGGCGACCAACTTTCAGTGAGTTGCGACGCTAGCGAAAGCCCCGCCAGCCTGTGCTGGTGCACTTACAGCGCGCGACATACTACAACCAAGCTCGTTACGAGAACCCGCAACGTGGCTTCGATGACTCCGAACACAGCGACGAGGTCTCAGCCCAATATCGTGAGCCCGGAGCTCATCGCGGCGGCGAAGACAGGCGAGCACTCGATAAGCGAGCATACGGGAGGCCGACGGCAATGGCGGCCAATTTCCAGGCGTTCGAAAAGCACAGGCGAACTGCAGACGCCCAAGATGACCTTCGCTGTGCATTTCGTGCTTGCGATATACAACACGACCGAGCCCGTTGCCGGTAAGCGCGATCCGTATCGCACACGGGACAAGTAGAGTAGAATAAAGAGTGATAACCTACTTGCTTAAGAATCCAGTGCAGGTTTCTGCCCTGAGTCAGACTGAAGTAATGTATCCGATAGGCCTGCCGTCTTCTCGGCCGCCATGTTGGCCTTCCCAACTGCTGCGGTCGTGTGTTGGTCACGACTATTTTGAAGCCAGAGATATAGAGCGTGGCGTGGTGACGTGACGAGAACTGCTCCAGACTTCATGGGTGCTGCGAACGTAAAAGCCGCAGCGCACGCTGATTCAAGCGTACACACAAGCACCACGTCATAATTCTTACATCGTCGAATCTAGACGACCGTGGTCCAGCACTCCAAGCGCGACGCAACGCGAACTGTCGCCAGCAAAATACGGGGAAAGACTGAGCCAGAGAGGAGGAGAACGGATAGTGACTTTGGCAGCGCTTTGCGCACTGCCCACAATTCCCGAGCGGTTCATCCCTTTGGAGCGTGTTTGCAGAGTAAGTGGTTTGCAGGTGGCACGCTTCCCTCTGTGGTTGCTCCTCAATGGTCTATTCGTTCATCACGCATGCCTATTGGGCTGCGTTACTCCTTTTTTGGGTAATTTTGCCTTAGAGTGTAGCAGTAGTGGCCTCGGCAGATCCATGGGTGGTCAATTTAGAGAAGATGTGAAAACTGCAGTGCGCGCGTCCTGTCTTCTCGCCTGATGTTGTGGATGTTTCTAACGAAGTGAAACATTTAATTATGCATTCAGATGGGATTAACTGTGCATGAAATACCAGCAAACAAGGCAGGGAAAGTATATGCTAAGAGCGCTCTGATAGAGCTGTTCCGTTTTGAAATGTTGTATGCCCGGTTAACATCATCTAAGTGCATCCATACCAACATACAAATGCGTCACTTATTAAAAGCGTTGGCGATGCGATGACCGAGGTGGCGCTGCGTGTTTACGCAGCAGTGCCTATACGGTTAAGCAGAAATGTTACGTGTGGCTTGCTACCACCACGAAAATTCAAATGAATTGAAAGGTTCTGCCTGGTATCACGTAACTATCGGCATCTAGTAGTTCACCCTTGCCGCAGGGGACCAACCTCGCAACGTAAACCCATTGTGCTTGCGGTTATCACTGTTATGTCAGTATCATTACTGCCAGAAATAGTGCCGACAATGGTCTGCCGTTCTATCGAAGACGTCATACGTAAGGTCGCTGCTCGACAGGAAGTTATGCTTCTGCGCCTTTTCAGGTAACGAAACGCGCTGAAGCGCTTGTGTCGGCATAGCATGGTGGCACTGCTGTAGCATGACGTCAAACATGGCATTTGTTATACTGGCACGCATACATTGAACACTAGGAGAAACTAGAGACGTTGAAAAGACAGGTGCATAGAGGTCTATAGCAGAAACGAGAATTCAAACGGGAATAGTGCTTCAGTGGTAATTTGTGAATGTTGCAGGCCCATGTTTGTTTTTAGCCTTTCTTTCGTGATAAGTCATGGTAGCGCAGAAAAAAAAATGTAGGGCATAAATTAGAGCATGAAATTGAGATGTGTTGCTTTATTAATACTCAATATAATATGCGACAACAGAGTGAAAACTCAGCACAAAAAGGTTAGAGAAATGGGAGTCAGAAAGGAAGACTCGTGTCGATAAATGTTTTTTTTGGCTGTCCTTTGCCTTCGCACTTTGGTAACGTAAAACTAGTCTGATTTGCATTCTTGTTTTAGATGTACCTTCGAGCTGCGAGGGGAACTTTCTTGCAAAACTTTATTATAGGCAATTAGAGACAGGAAGTTTAAGCTGGCCCGAGGAAACCACTCTTAGAATCAATAGGCATATAGGCTCCTCATTGTATGAGTTTATTGGCGACCACCGCACTCGGGCTCGGTCTACCAGGGTATTCTGGCTCTGCAGGTAGGAAAAGATGACCTCAGGGTAGCCTTCACTTCACTTCACTTTATTTTCCTTAAAGACCTCGCAGGGAGGTATTACATAAGGGGTGGGGTTAACATAATAGGGGCTACATACAAAACAGTGGTTACATACATTTACAAGATAGTGACTACAATGCACGTACAGTATAGTGGCTACAATACACTTATTGAGACATACCAAGTTTTATTTTTTCGGAAAATGAGGATAAGCAGATAGTTTCAACGATATCGCGGGGCAGGCCGTTCCAGTCAGCTGATGATCGACAAAAGAAAG